TCCCTTCGAAATGGGGATGAACCTGTAGAGGGAGAGAGCATGTTTGAGCCCTCTCTCTCCGATCTGAAAATTCCTTCTGATGTTTTTTTTTTAGTTTTTGTTTTTGTGTCTGTGTTTCAACACCTTTTACGCCTTGCAGGAGCAGGGAAACATCTTCTGTTCGGGCAAAATATGGGCCCAACATTAATTATGTCTAAAATGACCCTAGTCTTATTTTAATATTAAGGCCCAAACCCATCGTAGTATGATACTGTTCTATTGAGTCTCTTGGGAACGTAAACTACGCTATAAAAATTACTTCTTTCCACAACCCATAAATCAAAGTTTCGAGTAAAATACAGGGAATTATAAGGGGGAAAAGAGAATCTGCATGCAAGATCGACCAAAGACGTGAATGGTGGGTCTGGTCCAAGGAATGTGATTGTCGAGGTAACTGAAGAATTCCCATGAGACATCGTATGCTAAAAACTTGGGAATGTAAACTACACTGCTTCCGTTTCCAAGATCAACAATTTGGGCCTTTTTACCATAGTCGTTAGGGTTAGGGTTAGGGTTCGTTTTTAACTTAAAATCCATCAAACTCGTTGAAGCAGGTAGTCTTTAAACAGCAGAAATCTGGTAAAGCAGAAGCAGTGTAGTTTAAAGGACGTGACACTTAAAATTTGTAAACTTGCGGCGTTTGTAAACACAAACGCCACTATAGTACAAGTGTATAGCGGCATTTGAATAAAAATGCCACTAAAGTACGAGTCTTTAACGGCGTTTGTATAAAAATGTCAATAAAGTACGAGTCTTTAGTGGCGTTTGTATAAAAATGCCACTAAATTATGAGTCTTTAGTGACGTTTGTAAACACAAACGCCACTATAGTACAAGTGTATAACGGCGTTTGAATAAAAATGCCACTAAAGTACGTGTCTTTAGCAGAGTTTGTATAAAAAACACCACTAAAGTATGAGTCTTTAGCGGCGTTTGTATAAAAACGCCCCTAATTATGAGTCTTTAGCGGCGTTTGTAAACACAAACGCCACTATAGTACATGTGTATAACGGCGTTTGTATAAAAACGCCACTAAAGTATAATTCTATAGCGGCGTTTGTATAAAAATGCCACTAAATTACGAGTCTTTAGCGGCGTTTGTATAAAAACGCCACTAAAGTACTACTCTTTTGCGGCGTTTGTTGAAAAAATGCCACTATCGATGAACCTATTGTGGTGTTTTTATAAAAACACTGCTAAAGCTACCATTTTGTGGCGTTTTCTATGTAAACGCCGCTATATGTTTAAAATTAGTGGCGTTTACTCCTAAAACGCCGCTGTAGAACAATTTTGCTGTAGTGTATATATACATATATATGTGTGTGTGTGTTTGATGAATGCAGATAATAAGAACAATCAAAAGTAATTAATGTCTTAGCAATTCTCAAAGTTTTCTCTTGCATGTGTTGGGGCAGCCAAGAATTCAGAAAAAAGCAAAAATAAAGAGTTTGGTTCCTAGAAGACGTAGCCTTGGAATCTTACATGAAGCCATGATTCCACATCTTATTCATTTTCTCAGCAGCCAAACATGATAAACCAAAAAGAAAATAGAAAACGAAAGAGGATATAAAGCCAAACATTAGACTTGCCTAGGAGGTTGTTAATATTCCCTTAAAGTCGTCGTCTTCAACATCATCTTCTTCTTCATATATATTAATCTGCAAATTTAAAAGCTTTGTTAAACGTGGATTGAACTTGGCCTTGAAACGATCTTCTTCCTCTCAGTTTTCCAAGTAATTCCACAGTCATCGTTGCCTTCTCCTTGATCCAACACCCCCACCCAAAAAACGAAGAAGTTGAGAAGAAGATATCAGAATTCAGGCGTTCATTAAAGAAAAGGAAGAGAATATCCAAGACTGAAAGACGATTTATATCGATATTATAGAACGAAAAGGCATTTATTTAATGTAAAACTATTTTTTTTTATAGAATGGAGTTAGTTTTATTAAAAAAAATATTTATAAATTACAATAAAGATTTATAATAATAACACTAAACTAAGCATTTAATTAAGATATTTTTTATAATCATTGACATAAGGATCATAAAATGAAAATGTTAAAAAATATAATAAAAAATTTGAAAAAAATATATATGAATAGATTTAATCGCTGTAAACAAACTACAATAGATTATCAGATTACTAAAAAAACTATCAATAAATTTTAAATCAGAGTTGAGCGATTTAAGAAAACTATCAATGAACGTAAATCACATATCTAAATCTGATTCGATGGTCCAAAATATGAAATATCAACATGATAACAAACGTCATCTTGATTAGTCATGTCAACATCATATCCAACCGTGATAAAAATAAATGTAAATAATGACCAAAGGAATGAAAACATGTGAAAATACAACGAAAAATGTGTTATAAAGACAAAGAGAAACATGTAATAAACACATAATTATTAAAAATTTAAAAATAAACAAAAGAAAACAAATATACAATATAAAAAATAAAAGAAAAATAAGAAAATATCAACGGCTGCAATCATTACTAAAACTTAATATATAAAAAGTGTCTAAATTATACATCCTTTTCTGTTTAAGTGCCTAATTTTTTCTCAATCAAATAGATTTCTAATGTTTCTAATATTACCATTTTAGATGTCTATATTGTAACAACGGTTAAAAAAACTGTTATTTGACAATGTGACGTTTAATTTTTTTAAACTTTTTATTTTCTTTTTAAAAAATAAAAATATTAATATTATTTAAAAAAACCCAATTTTCTTTTTAAATTGCAAAAAGAATATAAAATCCCTTTATCTTCTCCGACAACTTCCTCTTTGTTAGATAAATTGGAGCCCGCATGAATGGCTCGAATTCTTCCACCGTTAACAGTGGAAGACCTTAAGTTATTTGGCATTTTGCATCAACAACTACACAACAAGAGTAAGGACGAAACCAAGATTTAAATTTAAAGAAGATAAAGTATAATTAATAATAAAAATGAAAAAAATAAAATTCAAATAAATAAAAATTTAAAAATTTAAAAATTCAAATAAAAATTTATTTTTATATATTTTCTAATAAAAAAACTATAGGGGCAGTAACCATAGACTACACATAGTTCCGTCTTGGACAAGAGTATACAATTATTAAAATGGAAGTGTTCCACTGTTTCCTGCCGTGTAATATTGCAGCTGTGTTTTGGCATTTTCCTTAAGCTATTTAGCATTTTCTTGCCGTGTTTTGGAAGGCGCATTTGGCCTCTTGCATCAACAACCACACGACAAGAGTATACCATTATTAAAAGATGTATAATTTAAAACTGAGATTTTTGTAATGTAAAACTAAATTAGTGTTATAAAATTTTATTATTTTATATATAAATTTATTTGTTTAATTTGACCTTCATAAATTAGGATTTAACCATATAAATTATATACGTCAATTTTAAATAAAATAATATTTTAGTTATTTATTTCATACTAAATAAATTGTTTAGCCTTTAAACGTTATTTCAAACTTTAATATTATAAAATTCATCATTAGACACACTCAGCCCACTATTACTACGAAAGAGGCCCTGCCCTTTTCCTATGCTACTAGGAGGGTAACCTTTATTAGGGCCAGGCCTTGAGTAGAATTGATCGTGTGATATGCAATGTCCATCAATGATGGTTCATTGATGTTTATTGATATATTATGAGATTATCTATGTGCTGAAGATGTAGGGACGAAGTCAGAAAATTTATATAATTTGTAGAGGTAAAATAGAATTTTAAAAAATTTTGGGGTGTTAATTGACACTCCTAAATATGTACCAGCTCCGCCAGTGTGAAGAGAAAATAATGTATTAAATAATAATGTCCATTCATACACATGTGAGGCCTACTTCACATGTCGAAATTAAAAGATAAAATATATATAAGAAAGTATATACAAACACTGTGGATAGTGTTATGATTTTTCTTGATAAAGTTGGTAGTGCTATAATTTATGAAGTGGTTTTAACGGTAAAAAAAGATTATTCTTTTTAAAATTTTTAAATTCAAATAGTTACGTCTATAAAACGTGTATATGTTATTAATAAGTTAAGAAATTTTTGATTAGTGTCATTATTAATTGGAGTGACAAGAACAATGAATAATAACGTGAAATAAAAAAGAGCTAACAAATTATAACATCAAATTAATATTTTATATAAAGTATAAAAGATAAATTAAAAATAAATTATTCTCATGCCAACCAAATTGTAAAAAATTATACTTATAGTGTAAAAGATAATTTTTTTTTTAAAAAAAATTGATTATCAAAATAAAAAGAAAAGGAAACAAAAATGATATCTTTTGTAGTTTACTCTAATTTTTAAAATAAGGGGGAAATAATATTTAAGCCCCTGTCTTCTTCTCGTTCTTTACAGCCTTGTGACTATAAGTCTATAACTCCAACACTCAGTTTGTTAAGTTTCATTTTTTTTGAGTAAACTATGCGAATAGTCTCTTTTTTTTAGGGTCTGATTGAATTTGGTCATCAATTTAAAAATTAAAGGTAAATGATTCCTCACATTATCTGTCCGTCCGATTTAAGTCACCTTGTTATTAAATTCAATTAAATCCCCTTTTGTTTAAGTCCATTTTCTTTAAGTCACTACAATGGTTGAGGGACTAAAATTGAATGAAATTAACAGTTGAGGAACTAAAATTGAATGAAATTAACAATTGATGGATTAAAACTGAATGAATTAATAATATTAAGGATTAAAATCGTATAGATCGATAATATTATAGACAATTTTTTCTTAATTTTTAAATTAGTAACTAAAGTCGGTCAGATCAAAATTATATGGGACTATTCGCATAGTTTACCCTTTTTTCTCACTTTCATTTTATGAGAAGCTTCTGGTTAACCCAAATTAATGTTTTCTCTGTTTTCATGAGAACAATAAGTTAGGTGCTCATTCCCAAAATTGTTGGTTAGTTTTCCTCCTTTCCCCCAACAATAACCCATTGAGATCTGAAAAATGCTGTTTATAGTCTGCATGTAAAAAAAAAAAACGAAAGAAGCTTCTTGGGGTTTTCTTTTTCTCTTCTTTTTTTTAGTTTAGTTAGGTTTAGAAGCACATTAAAGAAAGAGATAAAGAATTTTTGCAAGGATGAGAAGTGATATGGGAACTGAAATTGGTTACCTTTATAACTTTAATGTGTGGAGTTCTGCTTCTCAATGTTGCATAGATTATTGATGTTTGGGAAACTGGGCTATATTATCTTGGTTTTATAGACTCACTGGTTGATTTGTTTTCTCTGTCAGTGCACGATTAAGTTAGCTTTTTATTTTTTTCATATTTCATGTGCTGTAATGTGCCTCGCATAGGGGAAGAAACTTGGATATGACCTGTTTTATATTTCCGGGGATTGGAATGCAATTTTAGTTCTTATGGCTGTTTTGATCTTTGTTCTTATAGTGTGACTTGCATCCTTCAATTCTATACAAGTCCAAATTAGTGCATCATGAGTTAAAGGTTAGAAGTGCAAAAACTATATTCCATCATTATGCTTAAACTTTAAACTTTATAGGGTTTATTTTTCATTTATACCCTAATTTGTTACTTTCTGTTGTTATAGTTCAGAAAGTAAATAATTGTATCTCCTTTTTGAAAAGAAAAAAAATTCACTCCTGATATTGAATTTAAGATTTCATGATAAGATATTGCTTATGAATTTTAAGAAGAAAACAATAAAAATGCCTTCTTCCTCTATAAAGATTATTCCAAATACAACACTAAACACATAAATGGGTCCAAAGCACTCGAAAGTAATATATCCTTTGATTCGTGATGACAGTTGGTTATGTATTAATTAACTTGTAGTTTCTATTGACGGCTCATGCTATGCAGAATGCAATTGTAGAAGGTCAGGATTTAATTACCTTTCCTGCATCTGGTAATTCTATGCCTGGAACTGAGAATGGTTAACTTCGAGATGTGGATGATGGAAACCATCAAGTGGATTCTCAACCTAATAATGTTGAGGCTGAAGATGGTGAAGTAAAAGCTGAGATACTGGAGGTGAATGAAAGGGATATTAGAAACCCTCAGAACCATTTAGCTATAGAAGCAAAGGTAGACAATACTCTTGCTGGCAATTCATCTGATATGGAAATGAGTGATGAAGAAATTGAAACTCTTAGAGTTGAAAAGAAATTGGATGACGTTAGCCCTGGAGCTCATTCTATATCTTTTACAGTTGAGGGAAAAATGGATGTCTCATCAGTTACTACCAAAAAGCGGTGTCTTGATATCCAAAATGGAAGTCCCATCCAGAACCACACAATGGATGGTAATTGTATCCTGCTTCTCAGTTGTTACTGTAGTTTTTTCTTGTGTATTCACTGACTCTAGCATAAGAACTTTGCTTCTGCAATTTTATGTTTCATAAGCTCAATTCCATGTGACAGAAGTAAATATTTCTCTAGAGCCTTTGGCATGATGATCGTTTTTGTTTTTCCATAATTTAATGTGCCAGCTATATCCGGTGTTAAGAGACCCCGGATGACATTTGATGATCAACAACCTTCTGTTCGTATTGTCCATACTTTCTTAACAAGGTTAGGACTTGGGACTAATTCTGAAAATCAATGAATGAAAATATTCATGTGTTTTTTCCTTTTGTTGAAGTTTTGTTTAATAGGTTGAAGTAGGACTTGTTAAGATAAAGTGTGTTTGGGTACTAATTTACGTTCTTTTTATTTATGTTCTTTATTGTTATTTCCCTCATGCCTTTTTCCAGAGTTAGTAAATTGAAGCCTGAGGATCTTTTATAGAAGTGGTCAAAGTGGCAAGCTGAACATGGTTCATCATTGCAAGTATGTCTGGCTAAATTTTTGGTTTTCAGTACACTACTACTTGCATCCATCACTAATTAAATCCTTATTCAAATTTGAACTGAAGGCCTTTCAAAAAAAATTTAAACTGAGGGTAGAGCATTGATTTACCATTCTTTATCTTGCTTGGTTTGTAATGCCCTATCAATAGATTGTATATTGTTGTTTTCCCCTTGAGGGTATCGTATCCTTCCATGTTTGAGAATCTAATGGCAATTACTATTTTATAGTGCCTACATTTTAGATTGAATTAGGCATTGTTATGAACTCCCAACAACTAGTATCAGAGTTTTTGGTTATGAATTTTGTCAATTTCTGCAAGGTTACTATTCATTATTATTCACGTAAATAGTGAATTTCGTGAATAGTAAAAATTTTGTCGGCGATACGAATTTGTCGACGGAGGTGTTCTAATACACGGTGGTTAGCAAGAATTGTAAGAAACGATCCAAACGAAGCCAGATTCGAGTGGGAGCGATGGCTGCAGACGAAGGGAATGTGAAAATTGAAAAGTTCGATGATGCGGACTTTGATTTTTAGAAGATATAGATTGAAGATTTTCTGTACCAGAAAAATCTATATCAACCCCTCTCAGGAAAGCAACCAGAGGGCATGAAGAATGAAGACCGAGCTCTTCTCGACAGACAAGCCCTCGGAGTTATCCGATTGACGTTATCCCGCAAAGTTGCTTTTAACATAGCAAAGGAAAATACCACGGCGAGTTTTATGGCGGTTCTTTCCAGTATGTATGAGAAGCTATCGGTCTCAAACAAAATTCATTTGACGAGGCGATTATTCAATTTGCGGATGGCGGAAGGGGCATCAGTGGCTCAACACCTAAATGAACTCAACACAATCACAACCCAGTTGAGTTCAGTAGAAAATAAATTCGATGATTAAGTTCGAGTTTTAATTCTCTTATCATCTCTACCAAACAGTTGGAATGCTACTGTTACAGCAGTCAGCAGCTCGTCAGGAAATAGCAAATTGAAATTCGACGATGTTCGGGATCTAGTATTGAGTGAAGAAATTCGACGGAGAGAATCAGGTGAAGCATCAACCTCCTTAGTCTTGCACACGGAGTCTAGAGGGATAACTTCAGAAAAAAATTCAAATCGTGGTAAATAGAAATCAAGAAGAGAAAGATCAAGAACGGGAAATAAATATTTTACCTGTTATAATTGTGGCAAAAAAAGTCACTTTAAAAGAGATTGTCGAGCACTGAAGAAAGATACCGGTGCACAGGAATCTGTCAACATGACAGAAGAGACATGTGATGTCATGATTCTAAGTGTTAATAGTCCGATAAAATTATGGATCTTTGATTCAAGGGCATCTTTCCACTCCACCCCATGTCAAGAAATCATGGAGAACTATGTCAGTGGTGATTTTTGGAAGATTCATCTAGTTGATTATGAAACCTTGAAGATCGTCGGAAAAAGAGACATCCGACTAAAGCTGTCAAACCAGACCACCTGGACGCTGAAAGGAGTGAGATATATTCCTGACCTCAAAAGAAATTTGATTTCTGTAGGACAGCTTGATGGATAAGGATATAGTACAACCTTTTCAGGCTGTGAATGGAAGATTATCAAAGGAGCACTCGTCATTGCTCGTGGTATGAAGTCTGATACTCTCTATGTAATCTCAAATTTAGAGAATATCATTGCAGTAGCAAATGCTGATTGAAAATCAAATCTATGGCATCAAAGGCTTGGCCATATGAGCGAGAAAGGGATGAAGACACTTTTATCAAAAGGGAAGCTGTCGGATCTCAAGAATTTAGATGTCAGATTATGCGAGGATTGCATATTTGACAAATAAAAGAAATTCAGTTTTGCAAAGATTGGTAAAACACCCAATACATAAAAGTTAGAATTAGTTCATACTGATGTATGAGGACCATCTCCAGTTCCATTTCTTGCAGGCTCACTATATTATGTCACATTCATCGATGATTCAACAAGGAAGGTGTGTGCTTATTTTCTGAACAAGAAATCAGAAGTTTTTGATACTTCAGAAAATTGAAGATCATGGTGGAAATGAGATTGCTTTGAAAGTCAAGCGATTGAAGTCTGACAATAGAGGAGAGTATAGATATAGTAGATTCAGAGATTTCTGCGCAAATAATGAGATCAAGATGGAGACAACAGTTCCCATGACACCGTAACAGAATGGCGTAGCAGAGCGCATAAACATAACTCTGAATAACGTACCAGAAGCATGAGGATACATGCCAGATTGCTCAAATTTCTATGGGCTGAAGCTATCAATACTGCAGCTTACCTGATCAACCGTGGGCCCTCAGTTCATTTGGATGGTGGAATACCAGAGGAAGTTTGGAGCAGAAAAGAAATAAACCTTTCACACTTAAGAGTGCTTGATTGTATTTCTTATGTACACATAAACTCTGCTGAAAGAAGTAAACTTGATGCCAAGTCCAACAAATATGTCTTTGTTGGTTATGGTGGTGATGAGTTCGATTACCGGTTTTGGAACTACGAAAATCAAAAGATTATCAGAAGCAGATACGTCATTTTCAATGAGAATGTGATGTACAAAGACATGTCAACCATAGAATCAAATAACTCTAATACCGAAGCTGAAACAAATGAATTTACTGAGTTTGAGGAGATTTCTGGAAATGTTGTTCAAATCAGTCCTGAAGCAGTTCAAGAAGAACCGGGCACACCAGAACAAATACGCTCCTCCAGAATTCCTAAACCAACCCAGCGTTATTCGCCTTCTTTGCACTACTTGTTGCTGACTGATAATGGTTAACCAGATTGCTATGATGAAGCAATGCATGTGGAGGATTCAGTCAAGTGGGAGTCTTCCATGAAAGATGAGATTGACTCGCTTATGTCAAATCAAACGTGGGAATTAGCTGAATTACCACCAGGCAAGAAAGCGCTCCATAACAAGTGGATTTAATGGATCAAAGAAGAGCACGATGGGAGCAAATGCTACAAAGCAAGATTGGTAGTCAAAGGTTTTCAGCAAAAAGAAAGTATTGACTACAATGAAATTTTCTCTCCAGCCGTAAAACTGTCTACAATCAGACTGGTGTTGAAAATTGTAGTTGCAGAGAGTTTAAATCTTGAGCAGTTAGATGTGAAGACAACTTTCCTTCATGGTGATTTGGAGGAGGAAATCTATATGAGGCAGTCAGAAGGTTTCATAGAGGCAGTTAAGAAAAGCCTGATATATATGTTGAAGAAGAGCTTGTATGGTTTAAAACAAGCTCCTAGACAATGGTACAAGAAGTTCGATAGTTTCATAAGTAGCAGTAGTTTTACCAGATGCCAAGCAGATCATTGTTGTTACATCAAGAAGTTCGACAACAACTTCATTATTTTATTGTTGTATGTTCATGACATGCTCGTTGCAGGTTCAGACATGCAAGAGATTATAAACTTGATGTAAAAATTGTCGAAACAGTTTGCAATGAAAGATCTTGGCGCTGCAAAGCAGATTCTTGGGATGAGGATCAAGAGAGACACAAAGTCGGGGACTTTTATGTTATCACAGGCTGAGTACATTAACAAAGTACTCTCCAGGTTCAACATGCAAGATGCTAAACCAGTAAGTACACTTTTAGGTGTTCATTTTAGACTCTCCAAAGAATAGTCATCAAAGACGGAGAAAGAACGTGCACCCATGGTGAATGTGTCGTATGCCTCAGCAATTGGAAGTCTGATGTATGCCATGGTTTGTACCAGACCAGATATTGCTCATGCAGTGAGAGCTGTTAGCAGATACATGAATAATCCAGGCAGGTACACTGTGAAGCTGTCAAATGGATCCTCATATATCTGCGGGGTACTACAAACAAAGCACTTGTTTAAAAGGTGGAGATATGATACTGATGTTGACTTAGTCGGAAATGTTGACATCAGAATGAACACTACAGGGTATGTCTATACTCTAGGATAGGACTATAAATGAGACGAGATAGATCGCGAGCTACTCGAGATTGACTCGATCAAGGCTCGATAAATACTCGGATCGAATGGACTCGACTCGAGTTCTTAACGAGTCGAAACGAGCTACTCGATATTCGACTCGAAAAGCTCGTGAACATATCGAAAAATGTTATATTATAATTTTATATTTTTAAAATTACATTATTAAAAATATATTAAAAATACACTATTGATAATTATAAAATTTTGAAAATATATTAAAAATTTTAAATACAACTATCCTCAAATTTTAATTTTTTTAATTAACCAATTCAAGTTGAATTGTTACATTGTATATTATTAAAAGAAAAATAAAAGCCCATATAATTAAGCACATGTTATATTACACATGATTGATTGATTTTTTTCTTTCTTTTTTTAACTTTTTACTGCACAAGTACTTGACAACGTAGAAAAATAAAATAAAAAATAAGAAAAAACAGCCAAACAATAGAAAAATTGAAAATTGTTAAAATTTATTTTTGAATAAATATTCTTATATTTATTTTAAATTAATAAAAAAAATTATTTATCTAATGACAAATATTTAATATATTTCTAATGTTAATATTTTTAATAACTAATTTTTTAAATTGTTGTTATATTTTCAGGTTTCGGGTTCAAATATAATAAATATAAAGGGTTTGAACATTTAATATCAAGATAATATATTGTATTTACCTCATAAATCAATACCAAGTCGATTAATTAATATTTTTGTAATGAACCTTAAATCCTAAACTATAAACCTTAAACCCTAAATTATAAACTCTAAACTTTAAATCATAAACCTTAAGCCATCAACACTAAACCTTAAACCATAAAGCATAAACCATAAACCCTAAAACATAAACCCTAAACCCTAAATTCTAAAACATTTTCTTTTTATTTATGCAACCACATAATTCGAAAATTAAATTCTTTTATTGTCTTATATGTTTTAAGAGGTGGCAGATTAATTTGAATAGACCCGTATCGTACATATGATTTTGATGGGCACGTCTCCCGACATAGAAT